AAAAAAAAAAAAAAATTATACATGTTGAGCACCATTCTTAGGTCTCTCCTATGCTTCTTCAGAAAAACAACTTTGCTTTTTCATGACTTCAGTTGTCAACTCGTTAATCATTTTTTCCCCTTATTCCCTTTGAACTCTCCATCAGGTTTTCCTTTTCTCTTAATTTATGGATCTAAAATACACAGGTAAAACTCATGTAAATAGAGCTTCCTCATTTATGACAATATTTGGAGGAAAGTAGATTAAATGTTTACTCTTGCTCAAAAACAACTTTTATATGCCACTCTAAAACTAGATTCTGTTTTTATAGCATAGAGTAAAATATGAAGTTCTTATTAGAGTGGATTTTTCAGAAATACACAAAGTGGTAATTGGTTTGAAAATTGCATTGAAAGAAAAAAAGCCCACTTTATTAACAATGGTGAAGAGGCACATGCCTGCTTTCCCTTTTGCTCAGAAGCCCACAAACCTTCATATTTTCTTCTAGACAGATCCCTTTTTTTCTTTTTCCTTTTTCTTGAGACAGGATCTGACTCTGTCACTCAGGCTGGAGTGCAGTGGTGTGATCTCGACTCATTGCAACCTCTGCCTTCAACGCTCAAGTCATCTTCCCACCTTAGCCTCCAAAAAGTAGCTGGAACTACAGGTGTCCGCTACCACATCCAGCTAATTTTTCTTAGTTTTTGCAGAGGAAGAGTCTCACTTTGTTGCCCAGGCTGGTCTCAAACTCCTGGCCTCAAGTGACCCACCCACATCAGCCTCCCAATGTGCTGGGATTACAAGTGTGAGCCACTGGGCTGGGCCAGACCCCTTATTTTTCTAAACCATAAATACATAAAGTTTAAACAATGGAATGAGATAAAATGTGATTTTATAGCAGGATACGCACTCTTACAGAAGAAATATCTAAAATTCCAAGGAAATAAAATGTAAACATCTTTATGAAATGAGTTTAGTGTTGAATAGAAAAGAGAATAGTAATTTTTAAATTTTTTTATTTTGAACAATTTAGACCTACAAAAGAGTTGCAAAGATAATACAGAGTAATTGGTTTTGTAGCATCAATTTAAGCCTGCTATGGTCTTCTTGATTTATTTTATCATTTAGGATCATGAAAAATAAGTTCAGGTAAACTTGGTGGCTCACACCTGTAATCCCAGCACTTTGGGAGGCTGAGGTAGGTGGATTGTTTGAGCCCAGGAATTTGAGACCAGCCTGGACAACGTAGCAAAAACCCATCTCTACAAAAAAAATACAAAAATTATCCGGGTGTGGTGGCACATACCTGTGGTTCCAGCTACTCAGGGGGCTGAGGCAGGAGAATTGCCCAAGCCCAGGAGGTCAGGGCTACAGTGAGCCATGATAGTGCCACTGCACTTCAGCCTGGGTGACAGAGTGAGACTCTGTCTCAAAAACTAACAAACAACACACACACACACACACGCACACACACACCCCTATCCAACTGAGCCTGGGCATGGTGGCTCACGGCTATAATTCCAGCACTTTGGGAAGCCAAAGGCAGGAAGATCGCTTGACGCCAGGATTTCATGACCAGCTTGGACAACATGTTGATAACCTGTCTCTACCAAAGTAATACAAAAATTAGCGAGGCATGGTGGCCCACACTTGTGGTCCCAGCTACTCGGGAGGCTGAGGTGAGAAAATCACCTGAGCCCAGGAGGTCAATGCTGCAGTGAGCTGTGACTGAGCCACTAAACTCCAGCCTGAGCAAGACCCTGTCTCAAAAAAAAACAAACAAAAAAAGAAACAAAAAGAAGCTAATTCTTCTCTTATTGATAGTTTGAAAGAGAACTTTAATATGGAAAGTTTACTCTGTCATTAATTTCCATGGTATTGTTTTTACACAGACATTTTTGACTATTATCAAGGCCTTAACATTTCTTTATCATATAAGCAATCATCTTCTATAACATCTAAGCAACTTTTGAAACAATTTTTTTTGGTATAAAAGAATTTAATGCAAAAGAATATGGAATGGGTTTTTCTTGGAGAAATTTAAAAAAAAAGAAAACGAGAAAAAAATATGGAATGGGATTCCCCTATTAGATGAAAGCATATTTTATAGAAATTATTTTCTCTATATTAATAAAAATATAAAATAATAATCTTAAGCATTCATATTTTCAAAATATAGTACAGTTGAGATTCTGTGTAATTTTATTTTAAATCCTATTATATAAGACTTTCAGAATTTCTGATTACTCTTTGGGTAAAAATATGAAAAGCATAAGCAACAATCTACAAAAACTGGGCATATACATAGAGATTTTGTAGTCAAAACATTTTTTAAAATTTATAATATGACACAGTTTCAAACACACAACAAATAACAGCATCCATGTTCCCACTACCCAGATTTTAAGAATGTTAACATATTGTCACATTTGCTTCAGAATCTTTTTTTGAGAAATAAAACACTAAGAGACAGTTTTAGTCCCGCCACCGGTTAGCGCAATACCACAGAACAGGGCCACCAAAAAGGCTGCCTCCTCTGGCGGTCAGGAAGGCACAGAATCAGAAAGCCAGCGCTGCTGTGACCACTGCAATGGTTGGATCTGTTCTGCGCCAGATAGATCTCCACTGACGAAAAATGGATGTCCATGCCCTGCCCTTGATGCTTGTGAAGCTGGTAACAGGACACTGGGATGCTTTCTGGGGAAAACTCAGCACCTCGTCACTGTGTTTACCGACAGAAACCACAGAAGCGGCAGAGGTGTGCTGTCCGTTTCCTTCTGCCCGCCAAATCTCAGATGGGCATCTGATTGTCTGTCTCAGCAGAATGTTCATGGGAATACTGGCAACCAAAATGATAAAGATGCTATTTAATATGGTAGAAACTTCTTTAAAAGGTCTTCAAAATCAGATTTCCGTTCATATGTCAATGGTACAAATACTTCTAAACCTACATGACCCTCTTTACCTTTTGATACATAATTAAATGTTACGTAGTATGAGCTAAAAGTCATGTCTTTTTACCTGAATGCCTATAACATCAACCATCTGTGTCACCTGTCAGACTACTTTGTTTTGTTGGTGACCTTGTCTGCCCTGTGCATGAGACTTGTTTTTCCAGTTAAACAAATCTTGAATAGAGTAATCAAATCCCGCTTCCCTTTTACAACTTGGAGCACGGGCCTTCACATGTGGCCGCCAGCTGAACGGCTTATTGACTAAAACTCCGTGGAGCTCCCCTCTTCCTTCTGTCTCAGATAAGAATAGAGGCAGAGGAGAGGTAGCCCACTGGGATCTTCCCATAGTTCTAAAAGACTTTCTGTCCCTGAAGGTTTGCCTTTGTAAAGAATGAAAATTGACTGTAAATGTATTCCTTTCTAGGGACCAGCCATACCACCAAACACCTAATAGAGCTGGTGCTCCTGTGGAGTCCTTGGAGTCCCCTGCAGAGCTGAGACCACATGTTCCCCAGCCTCCGTCCCCAGCTGCTGTGCCTAGACCCCCTAGCAACCCTCCAGCCAGAGGAACTCTAAAAACAAGCAATTTGCCAGAAGAATTGCGTAAGTTGTTTGCAACATCGTTCTCTCCTTCTTGTTGTCACTTCTTGTACTTTGTGATGGTTGGATGATCACTCATCCATATCTCAGTTTTTTTTTTTCCAGACAGGGTCTCACTCCTGTTGCTCAGGCTGGAATGCGGTAGTGTGATCATGACTAACTGCAGCCTCAACCTCCCAGGCTCAGGTGATTCTCCCACCTCAGCCTCCTGAATAGCTAGGGTTACGAGGGCACACCACCACACCCAGATAATTTGCTTATACTTTTGCTGGAGATGGGGTTTCACCATGTTGCTCAGGCTGGTCTCAAACTGCTGGACTCAAGCAATCCACCCACCTTGGCCTCCCAAAGTGCTAGGACTACAGGTGTGAACCACTGCACCTGGCCTCATAACCTCAGCTATTTCTCATAGACACACTAAATTAAAATGCACTTTTTTGCTTAAAAAGTAACCTGCATTTTGTATGAATGTTTTTAGTGATTCTGACACCACTAGTAACACTCTCAAACTGCTTACCTCTAGATTCCTTAAGCACATACTCCAAAAATAAATAACCCCAATGTCTTTTCCTTATTCTAAATGATGCTCTTGAGTGGACTTGTCCCTGGGTAAATTGATTGGATGTCCATGTGGTATTGGACAAGCACCCAGCCTCTCACCATAAGTTACCAGCAGCCATCAAGAACGAGGTCATTTCCTGTAGGGATGAGCAATCTTGTTTGGAAAAAACAGTCTCACATTCTCCAAACTGCAAGACAACCAAATGCAAACTAAGCCTTTTATTTAAAGAAACATTCAACTAAGCGTAAGGTGATGATTCGTTTTCCACATTTTGCTGCCAGAACCAGAAATGTTGAAATACCACCAAAATGTTCTCATATTAAGGTCAGTCAGGACAGTAATTTCCAGAAATCTTAAGAAAATAGTCACTACTTGTGCAATTATTACATCATGTGCTTGCTAGAGAAGCTCAGGTAATTCTAATATGCATTTTCCAAATCTGGGAACCTTTTTGAACCAAACCTGAAATGAGGCCTTTTGTATGTGCTGATTCCTTTTGGGGGATCTGTGCTGATTAGTCATTGACAATTCTGAAAGATTTCTATGACAATGATTCGTTGCTATTTTCATTCAAAACATTTTATTTCTGAATACTTTCTTAAAATCTTAATCATTTTAATTTTGAGCATTTCTGGAGAACAGATCCTGCCCTGCATACGTCATAGTCCTGATACCAGTTTATAGATCATATATAACTTACCATAATCTATAAAGGAAATCCTAAAATACATGAGAATTGGGTCAATGTAAGGTGTTCAGACGAAAATTGAGTGCCATCAATATATCTGGCTGTTTAAATAAGTTAATATGATCATTATACATACTTCCATTTGGGAGGTGTGTTTCAAAAAACCTCAGTATAGATACAGACTTGTATTTTCTCTCCAGCCCCCATTTCTCCATCCTCTGCCCCAAGGGCTTCCTGAGATTTAACTGGTCCATTCCAGACTAAAAGCCAACACACAGAGATTATTCAGCTTTCACATTAAAATGCTAGCCAGACAATTTCCCCAAGACTTTAGCCTGAAAAAACACTGGTTCATCCCCACTGGGTTAATCTTGTCCAAACGGTACTGTCTGCTGCTCTAAGCTGATCCCGGAATGAGTGAGGGAGTCTGTGATGTTGGACTGCCCAGAGGCAGTGTCTCTCCTTCAAGCTGCTCAAGTTTTTCTTACTAACATTTCTGAGCTGTGCTTTGGTCTACTCCAAACTTCCTGGCGTTTCTCCAAAAGTGAGTGGATTGCAGGGAAGAAGCGAGCGGGGAACCACTTTCTCACTCTCCTCCCCCTTGCTCTTGTGAGAAGAGCGAGCTTTCAGGGCAGCGGAGCGCATCAGGAGATGAAAAGAAGACACTGCTGGGTGGCCCCTTAGCAAGTTTTAGCTTCTTGGCCTGCTGTGAGAGTATTCCCTGGGCACAGTGCCAAGTGTCTCTAAGAAACCAGGCGGTGCCTGATCTTAAGAACTCGCGGATTCTGGGTGGTGCATTTCTCGTTATGGCCTCGTGGTTTTTCAGAAGCCCCCTTAGGCTTGTGGAAGCCACTCCGATTTCCATTCACGAAGAGCAGTCTGCTCTCCCTTGGACAGACCCCCTGGCATTTTGGGACTGAGGAGCTGTGCTCTGGGCACAGCAACCCGTACAATGCAGGCATAAGCTCTCAGAGCAACCCAGCCCAAGGCTTCCCCTATTATTCTAGAAGGACAAAAGATACTGCATGTAATTTAGAAGTTTGTTTAGAATAGAATAATTTGACCAATTTCTAATAAATGTAAAACTTTCCTCTTAGGGAAAGTCTTTATCACTTATTCGATGGATACAGCTATGGAGGTGGTGAAATTCGTGAACTTTTTGTTGGTAAATGGCTTCCAAACTGCAGTAAGTATTTTGTCCAAGTAGGTAACTGAACAGTTATAGTGAGTACAATGGAGAGAAAAGCAGAAGATGAAAAAGTGCAACAGCTGTTGGTGATTTAAACAATATTTTTGATTTATGTGATTATGCATTGAGTGCTTATAGATTTAGGTAATCATTGCTTTCCAGAGTTTAAGCTATCTGAAGTCTCCAGCATTTTTTTACCTGCATGCTGTCTGTGTGACCCAAGTACCTCTAACAGCAAGATCAGTGAGAATGCGACCACATATGCGCTGGCCCCTGGCCTGAAGGAAATGCCGGGCTCTTGCTGCACTTTGCACCTTTGTCCTTTCTCACCAATCATGCCCGCTTTGGTGGAGCTTCTCATAATGCAGGAAGCTGCAGGCTTCACCATGGTCACCTGCTGATTTAACAAGGTCCTTTTGTTCTGCACTGGGTTGTGAGGTTTGAAGTAGAACCCCTGCAGCCTGAATTCCCCACTGTGCACAGCTGCCATCTCCACACCTTGACACAGTGATGCTTCTGGATGGGCGATACTGGCCGGGTTTTGGGCTGTTCTAATCCAGTTCCAGGGGAGGCAGACCTCACCCAGCCCTACAGGTCCACTGTGATCTTGGCCCCCAAATCTCAGGAAACACACACTGCTCTTGTCCCCCTGTAGTCCCTTGACACAGTATAGCTTAAAGCCATGTAAATTTTTCTCTATGATAAATCAAACACCACACAGTGCTACTCAGGGGACTCGCTTCCTTCAAACACGAGATAACTACTTTTCCTGTCCAGAGCCCTCTTCTAGGTCTCTTTTAGTGAATTCTAGAGAGTGGTGAAAAATTAAGGGAAATATCTATGAATATAAATGTCTATAGATAAAGAGGGATACTTAGAAACTAAATATCAATTTTAAAGGTTATTTAGCATTGTTTAACAGGAGTTTTTATTTGAAGTTTTCTTTATTCTATAAGACAATTTTGTGGGGGGGAGACTTTTTTGAGACAATTTTTTTAAATGGGATTCCTGTAAAGTACTACAGACTGGGTGGCTTAAGCGTAGAAATGAATTTTCTCACAATTGTGGAGGCTGGAAGCCTAAGATTAAGGTTTCAGCAGGGTTGGTTTCATCCTGAGGCCTTTCTAGTAGCTGGCTGTCTTCTCCTTCTGTCCTCACATGGTCTCTCCTTTGTGTGGACACATGTCTGTGTTCTAATCTCTTCTTCTGTGGACACCAGTCCTTTTGGATTAGGGCCCACCCATATCACCTTATTATATCCAAATTACTTCTTTAAAGGTCCTGTCTCCAAATACAGTCATATTCTGAGGTACTGGGAGATAGGGCTTTAACGCAGGAATTTTGGGAGCACAATTCAGCCCGCAGTAGTAGCTATGTGGAGAAATGATCATGACAGGAGCTGTGGGCTTTGGGAGAGACTTGGAGAAACCGATGGAAGACACCCAGCTCATTGCACCACCCAGGATGTTCACCTCAGTAGCTAGGAATAATTCAGGTGCTTGGATAATAACAATAATCGCCCTTTTTTATTTATGTAATTTTTTTTTTTTTTTGAGATGGAGTCTTACTCTGTCGCCTAGGCTGGAGTGCAGTGGCACAATCTCAGCTTACTGCAACCTCCGCCTCCTAAGCTCAAGCAATTCTCCTGCCTTAGCCTCTTGAGTAACTAGGGTTACAGGTGCCTTCCACCACACTCAGCTAGTTTTTTTTTTTTTTTGTACTTTTAGTAGAGACAAGGTTTCTCCATGTTAGTCAGTCTGGTCTCAAACTCCTAATCTCAATTGATCTGCCCGCCTTGGCCTCCCAAAGTGCTGGGATTACAGGCATGAGCTACCAATTATAACCATTGATTGAGTGCTTATTTCCTGCCTGGCATTATGATAGGCCTTTTCCATGTTAACTCATTTTAGTCCTCACAGCCACCCTAGGAAATCAGTTTATTAACCACGTATTACAAGTGAAAATGATAAGATTTAGAGTTTTAGTAACATTTCCAAAGTCATATAGGTGGGAAGTGGCAAAGCCAAGATAGAGCCCAAGCTGTCCGTCTCTTTTCAACCCTGACACTGTATTGTTTCTCTCTCATATAATAATAATGGATTAACAACGCAGTCACAGAAAGCTACAAAAGCATTCTCAAGAGTAGTCGTTGGCCATCCCACGTTTGAAAACAGGAGTCATCTAAACCAAAATAACAGCCATTCCATTTTTCATGTAAAGACACATATTCTGAACTCTGTACCCTATGTATATGATAGCTCACTGTACACGGGGCAGGGTCTCTTTCCTTAGGAAGCTTAGCGTCAGGTTGAAGAGACACAGCAGACATAAATGAGACATGTCATGAATAAAAGAATGTTATCATACGTGTTAATTGTCTAGTGACATTAGTGGTAACAATGGGGTAAAGTTAGGTAAAGTGAGGAGGAGGAGGTTGGCATGTGGGAAGGAATCACAGAGCAGTGGGGCTTGTGCTGTGCTTTTAGGGTACAAGGGCCACCAATGTGGGTAGTAAAGTAGACAGGATATGTGGGGAAAAGAGGCGAGGATGGATCATGGATGGCACAGAAAGCTTGCTAAAGGGCTGGGACTTGACTTGATCAGTCCTAAACAGTGGTGTGACATTCATTCATTCATTTATTTGAGACAGAGTCTTGCTCTTTTGCTCAGGCTGGAATGCAGTGGTATGATCACAGCTCACTGCAGCGTCTACCTCCCATGCTTAAGCCATCTTCCTGCCTCAGCCTCCCATGTAGCTGGGACTACAGGCTTATGTCAACATGTCTGGCTAATTTTTTGTAGAGACAGAGTCTTGTTGTATTTAGCCCAGGCTGGTCTCAAACTCTTGGGTTCAAGTGATCTGCCTGCCACAGCCCCCCAAGTGCTGGGATTACAGATGTGAGCTGTGCCTGGCCTGGAGTGACATTTACAACAAGTAATCTGGGAGCAGTGTAGCTGAATCACATAACCCCTCCCCAAGGACACTCTCCCTGAGTCACTTATTCCAGTATATAATCTCTCTTCCCATCAAGAGCACATCGTAAACATACACTTGTGTGCGTACACACACACACACACACACACACACACACACACTGCAGTACAGGCCTGAGCCCAAGAAGGGACTTCTTATTTGGTTTCCTATAAAATAAAAACTAACTGATATTTCTGCTTTTAAAATATCCCTTCAAAGACTTGAACACTAATAGTAAATATCAGTCTTTTCAAGGCCTAAGAGTTCCACTTCTTGACTTTCATCCTAAACTTCTTCCCTTCCATTTCAGTAATTGTTTTTGTGACCGTTTCTTGGCTCTGCTCCAAGTTTCATACAGTCCTTTTGAAACATATAGATCAAAACTGGACATGATACCATAATAACGTCCTCATTAATGCAAGTAAAGCACCACAATTGTATCTCAGTTACTTGTATGCCACACATCCATTAAAACATTCCAGAATTATGTTTGCCTTTCAAATTTCTGAATTACAGATGGATAATTTATGTATGTTGCTGGCTTACATCCAACTCAGTGGTATATGGTGCGCCTCAGACTTTTAAAAACATAATTATTGTGTAGCCATAGATATATTTTGATGTGTATCACAATATCCTAATTATGGATATGGTATTAATTACTTAAATGCCTACTAATGTTGAAGTAGGAAATACTTTCATAAAATTATATTTTGTTTTTTAGACCTATGTGCTCCTCCTTGCAAAAAGCGTTAGTTAAGTTTCGGAGTTTTAAATGTATATAGTGTTGTGTTTTCTCCTGCTCTGCATCTTGAGAGAACTTCTTACTAAGAGCCAACGCCCACATCTTTGTCTTGCAGATTGACATATTTGAGGATAGAATCCGAGGCATTGATATCATTAAATGGATGGAGCGCTACCTTAGGGATGTAAGTACATTCCAAAAATCAGAGATTGTTTTCTGGTGAGAAAGACAATGAGCTTATGAAGTGATTTATGAAAGCAGCCCTGGCATACCCACCTAAGTCTGAAGCTGAGAAAGCCCCAACAAAGCCTCCCTTGTTGGAAGCCGTGCAGAGACTTGGAAAGGAAGAATGGGGTCGCCCTCTCGGACATGCACAGGCAGGAAATAACGGTCAAACCAGACACAGGTGGTTGATAACAATCAGAGGAAACAATCTTTTGACCAGAATAGGAAAGAAGGAAATGAAGGCAGAAAGTGGGGAGAGAGCAGCAGAATTCAATTTAATCTGAGGCCACCCCAAGTGTTTTGTAGAATTGGGCTGAAGAGGTTTCCCGGGCAGCCTCGCAGGCTGCACAGCACACCACCCCCGAGGCGCCCACGCGCAGCCCCGTCATTTGTTCTCCACTGACAGAATCTATACCGGCCACTGGGACACGTTGTGTTTAACAAGATCAAAATTGATTGCTGCCAGCGTGTCCGTGTCGGCTGCTTCTTTCCGAGGGAGTTGGTGGGGGACGGGAGTCTCAGCAGGCTGGGGTTTTGTGCTTTTCCCTTTGTCTGAAGCCTGATGTTTGATTTGTGCTGAAGGGTCTGTTCCTACCGACTGTGCTAATGCGTACACGCGGAAGACAGGGCAGTCAAGAGTGCAGTGACTGGCAGCTCAGATCCAGCTGCAGGGAGGGAGGGTGTTTCTCACTGTTGGTGTCGCAGTGCCTTTTTGCCATGACGCAGACTCACTCAGTGATTGGGGCTTTCATTAGAGGTTTATTAGTGATGGTTGTGGAAAATGGTAGGCAAAAGCACATCTATCTAGGAGAGCTTCTCTCTGAGTCATTCACTCTGCATGTTCGAGGTGGGGCTGGGCTGGAGATGGAGGAGAGAAGCAGGGACGAGGGTCTGCCTGAGTGGGAACCAGTGCTTCTCTTTCCGTGGAGAATGAGCTTGGCCCTCCACCTGCAGTGTGTCAGATAATGCCCACGGTCCTGCTGGCCAGTTTCCAGCCTGCCTTCACCAAACGGACTACACTTTACACTTCCATAAACATGCCTTTCTCCCTCTCATTAACAGAAGACCGTGATGATAATCGTAGCAATCAGCCCCAAATACAAACAGGATGTGGAAGGCGCTGAGTCGCAGCTGGACGAGGATGAACATGGCTTACATACTAAGTACATTCATCGGATGGTGAGTGGGGAGGGGATCACAGCACCTCACTGTCCCCTGGGGATGGATACCTTGTCCAAGGAAGTCCCATTCATCCCCAGACACCAACTGGGGGCAGCATGATGCTGGGTGAAGAGCTCCGGGCCTGCCATGTCAGGAGAGGGGCTGTTGATTCTGGCTTCGTCTACGTTAGGGACTGTGGGCAAGTCATTGCACCGCTGAGACTCAGTTGTTCCTATTAGTTACAAGGGGAGCGCAATCTGTGATCTCTGGGATCCAAGATTCTGGAAAGAAGTGCTCTCATGGCTTGACTGTTTACCAGCAAATAAGAAGTCCTAGGAGGTGGGAGACAGGGTGGTGTGGAGGGCTGGCTCCTGCAGCTGAATCATGTTCTGTGCCCTACGTTTTCAGAAAGCAGTGGTGTAGTGAAAGGGACACCTGCCGTTGCATCAGGTGGGCTTGGTTAAAGTTGGCTTCCTCATGTCCAGGCTGTGTGACCGCAGCCCCACTGCTTAAACTCTTTGTGTCTCAATGTCCCTATTCACAAAATGGGTCGCTAATACTTACAGGGTTGTTGTGAAAATGAAATAATGTTTTGAAAGTATCTGGTATATATCAGATGCTTAAACAAGGGAAGGGAGTGTTCTTAGCTCATGCCAGGTGGGGAACTATGGGGCCTGGTTAAATTCAAATCAGTGGGAGAAATCTGTAGGATATTAGACTTGCTCAGCATGGGATGAAACTAGAACATTCTGACCGAAACAATCACCCAGCTTCGGAACTGGCTGCTTTATGGGCTAGCAATCTTCCTGCTCCCTGTGATTATAGAGATGCTATGGAGACAGTTTCTGCTTGGCTAGGATGCGGGGCTACACTTGTGACTTTCAGGCTGTCCTGCAGAGTTCCCAATGGGTGCCCATCTGTGCTGGAGGAGAGGCTGGCTGTGTGCCTCCCACCCCCACCTCAGCTAGAGCTGGTTTGCACTTCTCAGCCTTGTTTTGTTGACCAAGGATTCTGAGATTTAAAAAGGCTTGGGAAATCACTGGACTAGAACTGATAAGCTCCATGTCAGCTCTAACACTCCACGAGGAGGGGGGGCACCTGGAATGGACACAGAGCATCACTGACTAAGTTGGGAAGATGGGGAGGACACAGCCAGGCAGTCTCAGTGCACACAGCTTTACTACAGGGGAAGCAGATGGAGGTCCCAGGTCTGTCCTGTAGGTCAGCAGCGTGGGAAAGGGGTGGGGTGGGTGTTCCCCATCTGAGTCTTCATGGTCTCTGTCTCCCTTTCTATCAAGTACAGACCACTCATGTGAGCTCACAACCAAGCCAAAGGAAGAGCCGAGGCAAGGCGATGAGGTTAAAAAGTGAGGCCAGGGAGTCAGGAGATAAGGCTCCTCCTATTCTGGTCTTGACCAGTCTCACAGCCCTTGTACAGTGCCCTGGAAAGTTATCATTTCTGGAAGTAAACTGTCTTAAAAGGTCATGTCCGGCTTCGTCCCTTGGTTCTCTGCTGCACATCCGCTTGGCCTCAGAGCATGCGATGCCCTGTCTGCATCTCTAGGAACCTGCCAGTCCTGGGAGCTGACAGCTCATGCGTGGGAAGGGCTCGAGGCCTCAGCCAGTTCCTAAGGAAACCTGTCTAGCTCTGTGGGTGTGTGGCATAGCCAGTCAGTAATACACAGCTCGGCCTCAGAGCTTGTCTGACTGTTCCAACTGGAACCAGACTGTCTGCAAACTTGCTTTCTTGGGCCACAGTGTCTTGGGCCCTTCCTCATCACAGAAGGGGTCAAAGAGGCCAGATACAGAATTGCCTTCCTGCCTGCCTGGCTGACTTCCTGGACTCCTCTGGGCAATAGAAAACCCTGGAACAATAAGAACTTGGTCATGACAGAGGGAGTGCAGAGGTACTGATGAGTAACTGCATCACAGAGTGAACTCGTTCACAGAATGTCAGTGTCTGGAAGGAGGAGAGAAAATTAAAAATGTACTGCTGCTGACCACCACCTCCACAGGCTGGGCAGCCTAGTGCACAAGCCAAGCTTCACAGTATATGGAGTCCTACAAGTCAAACAAAACTCAGTGCTTCACTTGTAACTTGTGCACCCTACCCCCTGCCTTTCATGTCTACTCCATGCTGGTGTGACTGGTGCTTCTAGCTGCACAGTACTTGGGTCATTTTAAAACATATGTTCTGAGACGCAGTTACTCGTCAGTACCTCTGCACTCCCTCTGTCATGGCCAAGTTCTTACTGCTCCAGGGTTTTCTGTTGCCCAGAGAGGTCCAGGAAGTCAGCCAGGCAGGCAGAGGTGGTTCTGAGAAAACACCTTGTGGAGGATTTGTGTGTGTTGTGCGATCATGTGTGTGTGAGTATATGTGAGTGTGTTTATGAGGGGTTTCTATGGTGATTTCAATAACCAGCCATCACCACTGTCATTTTCTTCTCTGTTCTGTTTTTATTTCCATGCACAATGAAAACTTCTCAGTTATAAAAATCAATTGGAAGATGAAATGGTTGGGAACACATAACTCCTCATTTCCTTCTCATCAGATGACTGAAAGCTTTGTGCTGGTCACAGGATTTGGGAGACTCCAACACCCCTCCTATTGAAAATTCTGATTTTTGAGATAGTTCTTGGTAGTTAAATCTTCTTGGGCTTCCGCAGTAGCAGACCATATTGGAACAGGCAGACAGAGCTCTTCACAATTGACCTCCCCGCTCGGCCAAGCCCATCGTGTGCTCTGGCCACAGTGCATTAATAGCTGGTTCCAGCCACACCAACACACTTTCATACCTCCAGACATTTTCTCATGCTGTTGCCTCTGCTGAGATGGTCCTTCTCCTTGCCTCTGTTTTCCCTACTTGACCAAAACCTTTTCTTTCAGTGCCCAAATGACCCCTCTTTTGTAACTGTCCTTCCAGTCTCTGATGTTGAATGGATGGCCCCCATTCTGGGCTTCCGGAACAATTGTTCACACTTTTCACCCTGCACTCTGGTTGGTAATTTACCTTTCTGCCTGCTCACTAGACTGCCAGCCTTGTGAAGCTAGGGACTGTATCAGTGGTGTTCTGCTAAGCTGGCTCTCCTGATTTGTAGCACTTACTTATTTCCATGGTATAAATACTCTCACCATCACCAATTTCAAGCTATCAGTGTGAAGTCACTGAACACAGAATTAGGAAGAGATGCACACAGCCAGCTTTTGTGAGCTGCTGGCCAGTTTCAGCACACCCTGAAGGTATCCTAATCCTGACACCCAAAGCCTAAGATAGAATGTGACTTCTAATAGGCCTCTAATAAATGACTGATAAATGAGTGAATGGAATAGATAATTAGGGGGGATTAAAATTATAAGTGTGTGGCACTCAAATATGGAAATCAGAATAAAAATACCATGTGGACTTGCATCATTATGGAGACCATTAACTCCTCATCCTCATTCCTAAAATTAAACCTTCAAATTTATTTGGTTTCAGATGCAGATTGAATTCATAAAACAAGGAAGCATGAATTTCAGATTCATCCCTGTGCTCTTCCCAAATGCTAAGAAGGTAAACAAACAAAGAAACAAAAGCCTCATAATTTAATCTTTGGTTTGCTTTGCCATCTGGGATTTTAAGTGGAAAACCTTGTCCATTCTTTTTTTTTTCTTTTAAACGGAGTCTTGCTCTGTCACCCAGGCTGGAGTACAATGGCACGATCTCGGCTCACTGCAACCTCCGCCTCCCTGGTTCAAGTGATTCTCCTGCCTCAGCCTCCCAAGTAGCTGGGACTATAGGCGCATGGCACTAGCCCAGCTAATTTTTTGTATTTTTAGTAGAGATGGGGTTTTACCATGCTTAGCCAGGATGGTCTCGATCTCTGGACTTTGTGATCTGCCCACCTTGGCCTCCCAAAGTGCTGGGATTAGGAGGCATGAGCCACCACACTTGGAGTTC